ATGTAGACGTAATTTTAGAATATTTGTGATGTCTATGAAATCATATATAAAAGAGTGAATTATTGAGATATGTGAAATTATGGTTATTGTATTATTTAATAATTGATTTTAAAGAAAATATGCATATGTGCTGTAAATCTTACGTGATTAAGTGTATGTATATCTTATTATGGGCATTGCCTCTTTTTCCTTACTGAATCCATCAAACTCACCCTGTAACAGCCCCGAAAATTTAAAAGAAAATGTATGTATTAAAAATTCTAAGTGCGGAACCGAAATAAAAATTCTGATTAACATCCCTTACACAATAACCAAAAACGTATTCAACGTGTGAAAGAATAAACTAACTAAGGTAAATACTAGTAATGAATGCTATAAATAAAACTATGAAATCCTTAGGTGTCTACAAGTCGTCTTCTTACGGGACGGGCTCGGGAACCAAATCCTCATGATCTGAAATGGTTAAATAAGGAATGAGCTACACTAGTCCAGTAAAGATATCACATTATCTCACTGTCACAGAAGTAAAAGTTGGTAGAAAACAAAAACAACCAATGGAGCATAATTCATGATAAATTCATTTATCAATAATAAAACCCTTTACTGTCCACTTACCTCGGTGAGCTTCATGAAAACAATATAAAAAAATAATAACATTATAATATCATGAAATCATACACGTTTTATAACATAACACATATCATACCTTTGCATTTCAATCATCAGACCACATATTTTCCTCTTTTATCAGCATACTAGTATCTATAGGGATCCATAGGGGTTCCCGCTACACGTGAATCATTCAGATTGATAACTTGATTCAGGGCCGTCCCCATACCCTGTCCGGTATGGGTGCCAAAAACTATAAACCTCAATACCTCGTCCCGTATGAGGGTGAAACGGGCCGTCCCCATATCCCGTCCGGTATGGGTGCCAAAACACATAAGGTCTCCATACCCCATCCGATATGAGAGACCACGTTCCTGGTAGGGTTCCCTACGGACCCGGTCCGTCCACCATCTCCCAGGATATCTAGTTAGGCTGTCGACATCATCCATTTATCAATTCACATACCTTTTTCTATTTTTCTTGATCTCAATTATCCAATCAAACATAAACACGTAAACAAGTAACGAACACCAAATAAGACAACAACGGGTTCCCAATAATTCAAACCATAATAAATGAAACCGTGATTCATGCATATGAAATCATAAAATAAATACATCAGATACCATGCTGCATTTTAAACTGTAAAATAGATCAAACAACAACTGACCGAAAAATACATCAGATTCGGGCTCTATTAGCAACCTTAATTAATTATACACAATTCATGAAATACCATTTTATCATTTATTGAACTTTAATACCGTGATAGAAAATAGGGTGAGAAATCCTTACTTATTTCGGGGTCTGAAATTGGGTTCTTACTGCGCCTACGGGCTGTCCCTAAATTTCTTGAATTTTTTCTAGGAAACTGAAACACACTTCCGGTACCTGCACGTGTCCCAAAAAACTCCAAATCAGACCCAGGGCCCTTTTCGGCCAATATCGAAATTCCGGCACGGCAGCTCCGCCGTGCTCTGGCGACGGTACCGCCGCCCGCAACGGCGATCCGCCTCGGGTTGGTCGTTTTCGGCCGAATTCTGCCAAACTTGCAATGGTTCCTGTGATAAAAAAATCCTAGGGCCCTCAGTGGGCCAAAAAATCACGAAAAACTGAGACTTACCGACGGCGGAGCTCTCGAGTGCGGCGGCTTCTTCGGCACGAGTCGCGATTTGATATTTTGCTTCGGTCAACATGTAGAGAAAAGGACGGTGATCACAGTGGTATAAAAATTGCATCGAATGGGAACCGGGAAGGGCCTCATCGGAGGCAAAAATTGAGGGAAGCTACGGCAGCGCCGTTGGACTTCGGCGGTGTTTTTCGGCCGATTGACTGGTGGTTTAGCTCCGATTTGGCCATAGGCGAATTCAGTATCGAAAAACGAGCTAATGAGAGAAAACTTACCTCGTTTGGTGGTCAAAAATTCTCCGGTGCGGCGGCGGGTGGCGGCGGCCAGCTCTTCCGGTGACTGGTTCTTTTTTTCCGGCGAGGGTACTGGCGGCTAGGGTTTGGGGTTGAGTGTGGGTGATGTTATTTATAACCTTCCCCTTTTAATCTCAGCCGTCCATCATGATTTAATATGGACCGTCCGATCGCGATTAAAAGGGGAATAAATCTGGGTCGTCCATCGCGATGCGATCTAGGCTGTCCGTACGCGTGAGATCTGAACCGTTCGATCGCATGCATGCGAATCGCCCACGTGGCTCCGTTCCGCATCAACGTCCTTGCCACACAGCGTGTTCTGGTTGGCCGGAGCTGCTGATGTGGCTGCTGACGTGACACAACTTTTTTAAATTATATTTTGACCCCCGATTTTCGATTTTCTTTTCAAAAACACCCCCAGAATCTAAAATTTCACCTCTTTTTCTCAAAATTAATTTCAATTAAATCCCAAAAATAATTTTACCCTATTTTATTATTATTATTATTTTTATTTCTATTAAATTAAATTAAAATCTTATAAATTAAATATTAAAATAGAATAAAATTAAACAAAAATTCTAATAAAAATTAAAATAAATTAAATAATAAAAATACAAATTTTGAGTGTTACACACCCCAATTCACATCCTCCTCAATGTAGATTAGTTTAGATCAAGAGTAAGTTTAAAGTCAAATAAAAACTTTGAAAAATCTTTAGTGATAGTGAGAGTTCGTCTTGTAGAATCAGTTTAATTATATTATAACGATATAATATAAAGAATTTTGTAAACCTCATTACTTGTAATTTCGTATAGAGAATGATAGAATATTAAGTTTTTGCTTATTGTTACGTAAATTTATCAGGTTGTGTGTGGAATAACATCTTTTTCTCAATAGAGAAAGCGGGTCGTTACATATATAATTAACTAAAACTATCTGATTGTTCGATTTCACTTAAATTAATTAAATTTAATCAATTCAATTGATTAACATAAGTCAATCGTTTTTTAAATATTTAAAAAAATTTAACCAAATCCAATCCCCTAAATCTATAAGTATGTATTGACTTAAAATTTTTAGCCACGAATATATGATTCGGATGATATGATATATTTTTTTTTGAAATTAATGACTTAAGCTTAACGTCTTATTTTTACTTTATCTAAAAAAATAAAATTTTAGTACTATTGGTATTAATAAGTTGTTGCACATTGTCAAATTTGAAAGCTGGACATACCCAAAACACTCACTTCACAAGCAATCATGTATCCAATTCCAAATGAATTCAAGAATTAAAAATAAATCCAACTATAATTATATAAGAATCTTAAGAACTTCTGTAGAATTTATTTAATGTAAAGGAGTATTTTGCTACAAGCAAAATTCTGAGAGAGACAACTAATTTTCTTATTAAACCAATAGAATCAACTAATGTATAGCATTATCAAGAAATCCAGCAGATTTTCTTGAGCACTTCAAAATATAAATGAACTTAAAAATAGAAATTAAAGGTTAATTATTCCTTATAACTAAAAGGTTTAGCCTGATGCAAAGAGGAGCCTATGCCTTGGATGGAGCCAATTGCTGCAGCTAAGGAAACAAGAAGGCAAATGAAGCCTAAAATTTGCAAGCCAATCCACTTGATTGAGAAACTTTTGATTTGATTTTGAGCAATGTGCATTTGAACTGGAAAATAAACTGTCAGTGGCCAATACCCAATTGCTCCAAGCATTGAAAGAATGTCATTGAAGAAAGGCATTGCCATGGCTAAAATTGTTGCAATCACCACAAATCCTGTTCTCCATGTCAATCTCAACATATTCACTTTCAGTTCCATGTTGTTAATGCAGATTCCAATTGGGTATTCCTCTCTTACAAATTTGGACTTTACCCATTTCTTCTTTGCCCAGGATTCTACAGCAGAATATATGGGTTGTGCCAATACCTGTCATATAATATATATTATATGAGTAAATGAAAAAATAAAATGAACCCATTTTATCAAGAACCCTAATAAAGATCATAATGGAATTGATTAAACTGTGAAGAACCTGGTAGGCTCCAACTAGATGGATCACAATGAAGACATTGGCCAAATCAATTAACCAGAAAGGCTCATAAAACCCAAACCCAGTTAAGAGATTGCCAGGAGCAAGATTCCCAAATGCACCATAACCAACACAACCACATATAATATATATTGTTGTTGCTGTAGATAATCCTATCATGCTTGCCCTTTTCATCACTTTGTTTTCTGCTGGTTTTGACTTCAATGTGTCCTGAAAATTCAAACCCAAACTCATTCATTTTCAAATAAATATCTCCCAGTTTGTAAATTATGTCATAGTGTTTCTTTCAAGAAATTTAAAAAAGGAAACAATGGATATATATATATATATATATAAGAGACCTGTACTTCAATGAGAACTGAGGAATAAGTAAAGGAAAAAGCCATATCACCAAGGGCTCTGAACATTCTCCATGTTTTATCTGCAACGCTGTCAATATCTACACCCACTTCAATTCCACCCAAACTAGTTCTTTTCCCTTTCCCTATTGCATGACAAAAATTCTATTATTCTCAATGTGATTCTGTTTATAATTTTTTTCAATTAGATTTTCTTCATGCATAAACAAACATGTACAAATTGTATTTTCTTAAATCACGAAAACGTCTTGGACAAAACCCTTGTTTGAAAACATAGATTGTTGTAGAGAAAAAGAACGTTGAATTTTAAACATGTGATATGCTTTCATATTAGATGTACTGCTTGCAGTTTCTATTTTCTCGTCGATGAACTATTACGTAGTTCTTTCATATATATATCTCCTCCATCTCACTTTTCTTCTAGTATGTGTAGCGTAAAGAGTCACACAAATAAAACTTATCCTATAATAATAAGTACGCTTGATATATTTCTTAATGATTTTATTTAGTTTGAGACACATTCAACAATATATATACACACATCAATATATTTTGTACCATAATAATAATGGATAGTATAGTAAGACTTTGGATATTACCGAAACAAGGGTTGCAATGGAAAGTCCAATCCCAATGGATGCATAACTAAAAGACATAGTAGCAGCAATAGTAGAGAGCCATGAGAGCTTGTGGATGTTTGGAATTTGAGATGCAAATATTTCAACTATACCCAAGCATATCATGTACGCATTATTTGAAAATTTGCATGAAGCTTTATGTCCTCTCTCATGAAAACAATTCGATTTCGCGATCGCCCTACAAATCATGTATTTCTTCTCATTATGTGCATGTCAATACATTTGTTTATATAGTTGAATCCTCATTAATAAACTTGTGGTTAGCAGTTTAGAATTACAATGTAAACGATTTTCCTTACACCATGCTTATTGATGCGGTGATTGTATAGCCGATCACCATCATACTTAGCATTGTATATTGGAAGATGCCACAAACTTTATACTTTTTGCCACCTATATAAATATTGCGTGAGAAAAAAGAAAAAATATCAACGTGTTAATAAGTTAAATCTATTATCTCAATATGTTAAAATAGTATGTGAAAATATTTGGACCAAGCCGAGATATATGTCAATGTTTATAAACTTTTGAGGACAATAAAAATAATAATAAGAAAATTTACGCAGGAAAATTTAATTACACTTAGAAGAAAATTTCTATAAGATGGTCTATTCTCAAGTAGTATCAGATTTTATCGTGACAAACGTAAGTGAATTTCATTCTAAAATATCTGAATTAAAGATATTTATAGTAGAAACTTTATATTTTCGTTACATATTTTCTCTTTTTTCTATTTTTATAGGTTTCGCGAAAAATATAGCTTAGCAAAACAGAAGAAGGGACTATTAACATAATCGTTTATACTAAATTATATTATGTATAATTAAAATGGAAGAAAATTATTAGAAAAATTACCTAAATAAGCTTTGACAGCATGGATGTAAGAGTGATTTCTAGTGCCATTGGTGGGATGTGGAGATCTATAACAATCAGCCAAGAGAGTTGAAGTGTAGAAAGTGACTACGGAGAAGATAAGAAGAGTTGAAACACCAGCTATCCATCCAATCTGTGCAATGCCCCAACCAAGTGATAAAATTCCTGAACCTATTACTGCTGTTATTATATGTGCACTTGCTGTCCACATTGTCCCTGCATTTTCAAAATAAATAAATAAATAGATAATTTCAGCTATATAAGATATATATATATATATAAGTAGAGGACTTAAAATTATTTTACTAATAAATTGAGAAAGCAGCTTTTTTCTCAAGAAAAAATCGTAACATAGAGAATGAAATAAAATAATAAACCAGGTAGTTGTTTTTTTGTACTCCCAGACAATTCGTCCATAGATCAAATCGGATATATAATTATCGAAATAATTATTGGAGATTCAAATAGTAGATATGCGAGTATGATAATTTATATGTTATTTTATATCTTTATGAATTTAAAAAAATTTGTTTGTATTGTATCGTTTGATCTACGTATCGAAACTGATAACGTTCGAGATTATGTAGAATTATACATAAAAAAATTTTTTTTGGCTCTCTCTTTAGATTTATATCTCTTTTATCTCTAAGAAGTTTTACTCCACTAGCAGATTTTTTCAGAAAATTTTATGTGTTTTAGTGTAGATGACGTATTTATTTATATTTTTTGGTTTCAATAATATTTTTTACGAACTTTATTTTTATTTATTATTATTTAAAAATGATCAATTTATTATTATCTAAGAGGTTTTACTTCACTAGTAGATTTTTTCGGAAAATTTTATGTATTTTAGTGTAGATGATATATATATTATATTTTTTTATTTTAATAAAATATTAATTATTAACTTATTCTATTAAATACTAACCAAAATATTAGTTGAATAGCACAGTTTATGACATAATTATCGCATCACAAATAAATGTTAAAAGAATTTAATCCGACCCAAATCAAATTACTCACAGCACGACCTACGTTTAAATATCTAAACATAAATTAATATTAAATCCTAATTATATTTTGCATAACAGTTTAAGTCAAATTGATGGACTGGCTTGATTGATATTTAATAATAAGAATTAATGATGGCTAATTAATTATATATTAAAATGAAAGTGATGAATTAATATTTTTTAACTGTATGATACACATTTTTATCTGTTGTATGAAAATGTAAGTTCAAATTGTGAAATGTATATTTTGTTAAAATAAATTATATTACATTGCAATATTTTTATAGAATTGTATTATTATTAATTTGAATGCGCAAATTAATTAATTTTTAATACATGTAAAAATGTTTAGGTTTAATTTTAAGAATATGCTTGATTGTATGGCATAATTATCTATATGCCGTTACACTACCATGTAATCAAACAGGAGTATATAAGTTTGATTATTATTTACAATCTGAATTGTTGAGTTGCACAAAAATCAGCTATTTTATATATATATATATATATATATATATACACACACACACGCACATATATATATATAATAAAAAGTACATACAATATATTAATAATATGGCACTAAAGGGTGTCACCTATTTACAAAATATTTACTATCAGCAAATATATACGTATGACATTTTCGAAATTCTTCGTTCAAAATTCCTCGTTCTATAAATGTTAGAACAGTTGTTTATATATATATATATATATATTAAATAAAAAGTATATATAGTTTATTAATAATATGGCATTAAGGGGTTGTCGCCCATTTACAGATATTTAAACCTCAGCAAATATATATATATATATGTGACATTTCCAAAACTCTTTATTCAAAAGTCTTCATTCAATAAATGTTATAACAGCTGTTTATATATATATATATATATATTAAATAAAAAGTACATACAGTATATTAATAATATGGCCCTAAGAGCTGTTTATATATATATATATATATATATATATATATAGTATTATCTTTTGGTTACTGCTAAAAACCAGGAGTAAAACTGGGGAAGCAAAATTGCGTGTAAATGACAAATAAAAACCTTGCGAGCATATCTGTAAATGGCAAAATGGCATTACTAAAGTAAAATTTTAATTTTAATTTTAATTTGAGACGTATACATTATATATAGTTCACCAAAAATTATATATTGGGAAAAAATATATATTTATATACGTGTGTGTAATTAATACACGACCACAAAAGTGGTAAAAGGAATGAAAAAAAAAAACAGTAAAACGCCTGTCCTTCAAACTTTTGGTAGGAGTTATATATATCTATATATACATATATACATATACATATATAGATATATACATATAGCATTTATTTTATTTCCCCGAAAGGAGCTGGGTCTCTATCTCAAGATATTATCGTCCCCCCCCCCCTCAGCACCTCTTTATGCCATGGTCAGCTTGCTGTCATGGGGAGTTTCCAAAATATATTACTTTGATAAATTAGATTATGGATGAGTTAATCTTAATTAGCGACATTAAACATATTAGTATAATGATTTTTATTTCCAGATTGTTGTAATTAAATATAATTTAATTAATTATATTAATATTAGACTTTCATTTAATTTAATTAATTAATTAATAATAAACAAATACCAGAGTCCAGTTTCATAAAGTAGTCAAAATAAAAAAATTAAATTAAGTGGTCTTAAGGGTTCATTAATCTACTCCGTACATATATTATTAATTAATCCATAATTACAGTGAGAAAAAGATGGCAGATTGTATTCCTGGGTATTTTTTTGTCCCGAGTTGATATTAGTAAACGAAAATGTTGAATGCATGAGTATCGATATATATTTATATATATAGATGCATGTGTATTACGCGTGTGTGTGTGTATATGCATAAATATATATATATATATATATAGAGAGAGAGAGGGTTTGGGTACCGGTTCTTGCAGGCATTCCATCATCGTCAACCTCCATGTGAGCTCTGTCTACAACTTCGCCACCTTCAGAACCCAATTCGCATATTTCTGCATCCATCCCGCTCTCGCCTGCGTCAAATCTTCAATATTTACACCCATACGTACGTACATATATATACATATATACATGGGGGAAGAGGGAGAGAGGGAAGAGAAATGGGATTTTTAATGTTAAAAATCAAATAAGAAGAGAGGGTACAGATACTTACTGCCTCTGGGATCTGACTGCGAGTCAACCTGCACGGTTGCTTTGGATTTTTTTTGGCCATATATGTATTAATGTGTGACTGGCTTTAATAGGACAACCCATCCACGTGGCGACATATTATTGGACAGAAATTAAACAGCATCGAACCTTTCGCGTTCCTTCTTTTTGCTTGCCTGCTCCAGATTTTCTTTTTTCTCTTTTTTTTTTTAGTTAAAGAAATTAAAATTAAGTTTTTTTTTTAATTTTAATTTCCAAGTAGATTTTTATTTAACTTATTTCATTCTTAATAATTTTTTAATTAATTGTATAATTTTAGTTTCAATTTAAGTAAAAATTGTAATTGCATATG